GTTTATTATATAATTACCAATGAAATATCTATTTTTCTCTATTTCGAAAAATTGATATCTTCACACCTGAAAATAACATGTTATTTTCACGTGTGAAAATAACACCATTGCGATGGCTATTCAAAAATACACGGAAAGAATATGCCTGAAAAAGCCAAAACATACTTTCATTGATAATTATATAATAAACAGAATATTACATGGGCGCTTGGAGATACGAAATTTATCTTCTCGTGTTGAAAATYTCACGATCTCTCTTCGCTGCGCTCACTTGTGAGAGATCTTTTCAACACTCGAAGATAAATTTCGTATCTCCGCGCGCCCATGTAATATCCTCTATATATGACCCCAATAAATAAACGAACGACCTATAAACCTCTTCTATAATGTAGGATTTTTTTTTTGAATTATCATTTAAATAATAAATAATCCTAAGTGATCAAGTAGAATGACTCAAGATATGAGAATTTCTGGTGCTAATAGCAGTCGACTGGCTTTCTGTTGCCATATTAGTACAAAAAGCAGAAATACTTCGTAACTCGTGAAAATACACAGTTAGTTAGCCGGCGGATATGTGACCTATTAATACTTTAATAGTCATTAATATTTATGTCATGAGACCTGTTACTATATTGCCATCTTTGTTATTAATTTTACCGCGTTTCTAATTATGTGGTTGATTGACTGCAGATATTGATAACCACTTTTCAATAAAATACCGAAGTATTATGTCATCAAATTCCACGTAATTCAGTTTTGAAATGTTCATATTTGAAGAGAACATGACATTGCCGACGCTAGAGAAAAACGTTTGCGCATGCGTGCATTTCAGCACGTTTTCTAAGAATTTAGAGGCCATGGAGTGAGAAAAAAAGTGTTGTTTACTCCGAGTAAGACCAACAATATGGAAGAATTAGCCTTAATTTTTAAGCATGGACACTAAATTTTGAAATTTATCAACTTACCAGGCATGTTTGTAAGTCACATTTACATATTGAGTTTTACAATAGCATGAATATCTTTTTTTTTTTTTTTTTCCCCTTTTTTCTCTCGAAGATATTAGCTTTGTAAGCTACTCTGAAATTCGAGGTTAAATAAAGTTTATGTATGTATGTATGTATGTATGTATGTATGTA